TTGGCTCACTGCAACCTCTGCCTCCTGGGTTCAAGCAATTCTCCTGCCTCAGCCTCCCAAGTAGCTGGGATTACAGGCATGCGCCACCACACCCGGCTAATTTTGTATTTTTAGTAGAGATGGGGCTTCGCCATGTTGGCCAGGCTGGTCTTGAACTCCTGACCTCAGATGATCCACCGGCCTTGGCCTCCCAAAGTGTTGGAATTACAGGCGTGAGCCACTGTGCCTGGCCAAATTTTTATATTTTTAGTAGAGATGGGGTTTCACCATGTTGGCCATGCTGGTCTCAAATTCCTGGCCTCAAGTGATCTACTCACCTTGGCCTCCCAAATTGTTGCGATTACACGCATGAGCCACCATGCCTGGCCAACTGATTTTTTTAAAATTTTCTATTTTTCCCAGACAGAGTTTTGCTCTCATTGCCCAGGCTGGAATGCGATGGCACAATCTCGGCTCACTGCAACCTCCACCTCCTGGGTTCAAGCGATTCTCCTGCCTCAGTCTCCCGAGTAACTGGGATTACAAGCACATGCCACCATACAGCCAACTGATTTTTAAGAAAACAAAATTACTTACTTAGAGGGATGTCACTGTCGGCTTGCTTTGCACCATCCTGTAATGTAATGTACACACTGTCAAGTAAGTATTACCTGCTGGGTGACTCCTAACTGGTTCAAGGCAACAAAGAAATGATGTAAAGTCACAACACAAACATTATACATTAGTATTTTCGGGTCCCCTGCAAAATCATATCACAATGACAGAAAAAGCATCCTTAGACTCCAGAGGTACCACCTCAGAAACACTCCTCTAGGAGAATGGATCTGATGTCTCCAGCCTTCTCTGCCCTAGCCTTAGCTAGTGTCAGGCACCATCAGAGGCCTGGCTCCAGCAGGAGGAGGAACCACAGGGCACATGCATCAGGGAGCCTCCAAAAGCAAAACCCTCTGTCAACCTGGAGCAACAAGCCTGGCAGGCCGGCCGGGCGCGGTGGCTCAAGCCTGTAATCCCAGCACTTTGGGAGGCCGAGACGGGCGGATCACGAGGTCAGGAGATCGACACCATCCTGGCTAACACG